GCTCTTTCTCTGCCGCGACTTGAGTTGTTCAGTTGTACTACTGACACGCTTGATTCTCAAGGAAAGAGATTTCATAGATTTAACAGGTATCCCCACGTTTCTTTGGTCAGACTCAATCATTGTTCTAAACTGGATAGCATCACCGTCTCGAAAATGGACGATATTTGTTGCTAATTGGATCAGTGAGGTCCAATGGTCTATGGAAATTAAGGACTGCCATCACATCGGATCTGACAATCCCAACGTCCTATCGCGTGGATTGAATCCAATTGATTTGACAAACCACTCTATGTGGTGGCATGGACCTCTCTTTTTGCAGGAGGACAACGAGCAATAGATAATCAGCACCATCATTCAGATGGATGATGATCTCCCTGAACGACGAAAGGTATTGTCAGTCGCGGTCGCGTGCGATCGCTGCGTGTTTAGTGAACTGTTGGCCAATCACTCGAGTTTAAATAAAATTTGCCGTATCATTCCTATTGTTTGAGGCTCTCCGAGGGATTCCGGATCCACCACACATCTTTGTAACTCCAAACGAGATGTCTCACGCGCTGAATGTCATGTGCAAGATCGTTCAGCGTTAGGTCTTTTCCAGCGAATACACAGCATTAAGAAGTGAGACGATCCAGCAGATTGCTATCGTTATCCTCATTTATGGACGAGACAGGTTTGTAGCGCGTCGGTGGCAGATTAATCAACTCAACATTGCAATTTGATGCTTGCCATCCTATATTATTGCCTCACAATCATTTGACTCAGCTCATTATATGATACGAGCATGTTTGAAATTTGCATGCGAGTTTGCAAATCACGATGCACCGCCATTAGGCAACGATTCTGATCGTTGTCGTTGTGCTCTATACGACACCTCATTCAGAAGTGCGTAAAGTGTTTCAAGGCCAATCCGCGTGTCTGAGGCCATCATGGCCATCATGCTTTACCCGCGAGTAGAGTCATAGTATCTAGATCATTCTCTCACTGTGGCGTCGATTACGCTGGCCCGATGATACTGCGTGAGGGTAAAACGCGCGGAACGATAAGGTTTACGTAGCCGTCTTTGTCTGCTTCGCTAACTAGTATAGTTCCTTCAAACGTCCTTGAGCTCCGACGAAGGCGGTGCACCTAGAGCTGGTTAGCGACCTCACCTTCATTGGCGCTTTCAAGCGATTTATTCTCACGTAGGAGTAAACCGTCCGACAACGGCACCGCCTTCATCGGAGCTTAAGGACGTTTGAAGGAGCTATACTAGTTCTTTCACGACACAATCTAACATTCAACCTTTTCTAAGCGATTAAGAGATTGCATGGAACTTCATTCTGCCGAACGCCCCTCACGTCGGCGAACTGTGGGAGACGCGGTTAAGTCTGCGAAGCATCACATGACCATCATTGGCAAGGCTCACTTGACTTTTGAGGAGCTCCAAACCGTACTCTGCGAGATCGAAGCGATCCTAAATTCTCGTCATACCGCTAAGTGCGGATCCCAACGATATCGCATATCTTTCTCCCGGTCATTTCTTGGTTGGTACTGCACTTAACAGTTTTCCTTGCAGCGATTTAAGCGGAAATACAAAGTATATCGCAAACATCACTATGAACTATTCAAAAACTGATTTTTTATATTTTAGCCAGTCTGTATATCAGACAGTGAGTCACTTTTAGCTAGTATTATTCAAGGTTACAAATGGAAAAATATAACATTAAAATGCTAATCAATTCCATGAAAATGAAAGTTGGAAAGTAATAAAAAATTACGCCAGAAAGACTCATTACTGCGTAACGAACGACATTGACTGACTAGACGTAACAACAACTCTTAGTCTTTATAGCTTGTCTATGATCGGAAGGTAAGCCTTGAAAACCCCCTCCATATCTGTCTGCAAATTAAGTTCGTGCGTCTGTCTCATGATGAATATCATTTCCAAAATCAATCTCTTTCTGTAGTGAGGCTCCTCATCCAGTATTGTAACGTTGTCCCAATCGAAATCATGGCCCTCTTGTAATCGATGCTCCGTTACGAGTAGAGATGTTCCATCGGATGTGATTCTTGACCTGAGCTGTCTACACTTCTGTCCCACATGACTTGCATCGATTACAATATCACAACTCTTACAGAGATTTTATTAACAACATTCGACTTCTTGTCACACTTATAAAGGGTCCTTATACACTCTAATAAATTCTCGCAATTTATTAATACTTTATTAATAGAACGATATCCTCATACACTCGCTATTCAATCTGCTTAACTTCTTAGTAATACCACGAACAGTGAATCATGAAGGCTGCACTGCTTCAACCTGCTTATTATCATTAACAACACTTTTCCTATTATTAACCTTAATAATTTTCTTCAAACGATTGTTAATATTCTCAAATATAAAGTTCAATGAATAATCATTCTCTAACAATACTTTAATAATGAAACACAAATTATCAAGGTGAAATTTAGGATTCGAAAGCAAAATTACCCTGTCAACTAATCCCGCGATTGTACCTATTTTTTGAGAAACCGGATGCTGTGACCAAAAATTCAAATATTTACCCGAAAAAGTCGGCTTATAGCACCAATTGAACTCTATCAACTCATTATCCCTAATCACTATAACATCCAAAAAATTAATTATAATCTTAAAGTTTTTTGATAAATTAGTTTTTCGTATTCTCTATTCCGATCATTTTCTTATTTTCGTTCATTTTTTTTCTTTTTCTTTCACTCTTTTTGAGATTAATTCTGGCATTTAAATTCTCGAGATAGGGGAGCTCACCATGACAGAATAATTTTTATTTACAATTTATTTATGTTAGTTTATTTGTGCTGTCTTTGAGGAGGGCTCAAAAGTGAGCATGAAAAATGTAAGTATGTTTTAGTGAGTGGAGAAGTTTCACACTTAATGGACATGTTGCGACGTCTTCTGCGCTTGACTCCTATTACCCGTGTCCTTTCCAGTTTTTTAATTATAAGTTAATTTATCAATATTATAAAAAAATCACGTTTGAATATGGAATGCATGTCTGATTAACAAATTTAAGTCATATTAGCTATGTTTCTTTATTTAGTATGCTGTAAAAAGTGTCCAATTGGACAATTAAATGTACGGAATTTTTTTAGTAATAAATCGAAAAAATAAAAATTCAAGAAAAAATTTTCTAAACTAAAATTTCATGGTTACGATTCGAGATTTTTTTAACAGCAATTTAATTCTTCCTTGATAAATTGGTGCCAGACGGAACTCTTAATTTTAAAAACTAGAGCCACAGGTATTTTTTAAAAAAAAAAAAAAAAATTTTTATCTCGGCTCCTAATAATCGGAGGGTAATCTTTTTTTTAAATTCATAGAAAAATGTCAGATTTCGAATGCTTCACATGGCTACTTGATATGATGAATATTAACGAAATTATTTTCATTTTTTTTTATATGGAAATAGATACCCACTTTTTAAAATCGTTTTATAATGGTTTAACTGCAAAAAAATCATTTTATGCGTTTTATTTAAGCATACGTGATAGTACAACTCTTGAAGAAGCAAAATCTCTGTAAATTGCTGTGCGACTGCTCAAAGGTGAAGAAATTAAGTTTTCCGCAGACAAGTTTTTAGTGAACAAATGATTTTTTGCAAAAATTAATTCAGGAACATTTCAGGGCTAGTTCAGGGCTAGATTTGTTCATTACGAGGGCTACATTTTACGAGAATTTCAAAGCTTTGCGTTTAAATCTCATTAAATAGAGAGCGAGTGAAAAAAGGCCTTTTTCAGTGTTTTTTATTTTTTTTTATTGCACTAATAGATCGATTTTAACGTTCCACGTCTCATTTTGTAGGTATTTCAAATACTTACAAAAATTTTGTATATCGAATTTTTTTCTATACAATCAATATCTTTCGTTATAACTGAAAAACGTGCTTTTTGCAATTATTCGATTTTTGTTCGCATATTTTCTTCAAGTCTCGAGTCTCAAACATACACGTTTCTTTTCTGATAGCCTTTCGTAAAAAGAAATGCTGGTTTATAATTTTTTTCCGATAAAATTTTACTTCTACTGAACTATTCTTGCTACTCGAGTTTATGAAGGAGGGATATATTATATAATACTATATAATGCATAAAAAATCGTAAACAATTAAATAAACTGTTGCGTTTTTTAACATGATTTATACTATTCTGGATTAAGGGGAGGAGTATTACTAATTTATTAAAATTTATATGTTATTTAGAGTGCCCCCGGCCCCTAGGGTCGAACGACCGAGATTGCCGAGAAAACATTTTCGGTCGCTTGAAAGAAATGATTAGTATGAGAAGGAGCTCGCTGTCTCATTCACTCTCGGCGCGCCACAGGCAAGCACACGGACATGGGCTCGTGTTTAAGTGTGTGGCTATCGGTTTCGCCAGACCGCTGTCTGATTCTGTGTCGCCACCGTCAACGCAGAGTTTTTGACTGAGTAGTCAGAAGTCTTAAAGATAACTTTGACCGTTAGGGTCATTACTTCTATTCCTTATTGTTGAATTTTCAAATGCACGGTCCAGTAAGATTCTTATTGTTAAAGATTAAAGCATGGTGGAAGGCTAACATAGTACAGTTGGACAATGTCTTTCTAAATCCTGCCCTTTGTCCATAGATTGTTCATAACGACGAAGCTATCAACTGTAAAACGCTAAATATGGGATCGTATTCATAGTCGATTTTTATTTTAAAACTGTCTTAAATATGTCTTGAGATGTTAATACAGTCCTCGTGTTGACTTATGACATTTTAAGATTGACATTTACAAGATATTTTACTTAAGACAGTCTTAAATGCAAAAATCCATAAATATCACCCCATGTTTCGCAGTTCATAGTTGGTAACCCTTAAACCTTATGAACAGTCCATAGACAGAGAGAGCAGAAATTTAGAATGAGACACTGTCCAATTGCACACATCATGTTATCCTTCCATCATGAATTAAAGTCATAAAACTAAAAAAAATTACAAATTTGTATGTTAATAAAATTACAAGTTTTCTTTTGGGATGTCTTTAATTATACAATCATAAAACAATACTTGAAGACTATGAAAATTCTCTTACTATGAAAATCCTCATTTTGTGTCAGACCATTGGCTGTACATAATATGTACAACTTTTTATTGTAGCAAATATACATACTAGCCATTGTTTACATCATGTTGAACTTGATCCAATTGTACTTCTTCCTTTTTCTCTGTATGATCATCACAATTTTCATCTATTACAGACTCTATTGAAATATCAGCATTATCATTACTATCATTGATTGCAGCCTCAATATTATGTTCTGGATTAGGATCTCGATTTTCTTCACCCTCTTCTAGTAAACGTGGAGCTTCTACAGTATGTAAAGATGAAGATGCTTCAAAGTTTTGTGAATGTTTGCTTAACCCTATCTGAACCTCTATTAGATTTAATTCTTCAATCAATGCTTTTTCTCTTTTTTCAATTTCCTCTGAAATAAAAAAAAAAATTTGCATAAATATACACATACATGAATTTACATACAATGATAAGATTGTTCTTTGTTATTGTATTGCATTAAAACTTTCTAACTTTTACCAAACTTCAAAGATTTATTTCATTTTACAATGTATAAACTAATTTAGCTATAAAGAACAGACCTAATATTTATGAGATTACTAACCATGAAGTTCTTTCGTGGACTGCGCTAATAACATGTCTGTTTGTGGGTGTTTACGTTTTGGTATATAATAAATAGAAGGTTGTGCGTGTGTTTTAATAAATAAAGCAAGAGGTAACTGTGCATTGCGCCAATCTTGAAATTGTCGACTACGTGCAAGCTTTGCTTCCAATGCTCGCACTTCAGCCAATTGCCGTTTTCGTGACAAAAATAATTGTTGTCTCTCTCTTCGCAATTCTTCTTTTTCTCGTCTTCTAGCTTCTTCTACTCTAGCTTCCACTTCTGCTTTTTTATCTTCCTGCAAATGAAACATTATACTTCAAAAACATTAGAAGATTTGTGGGTTATCGCCGTGTTTTCATCCTTGCCAGGTTCATGAAATGTTGGCATTAGCAATGGATGAAAATACGGTGATAACTCGCAAACCTTCTGATATCTTTGATAATACCTGTGAAAGCCTAAAAAGCATTACACTTCATGATAAGCTACTGATTAAATTTAAATATATCCTACCTTCGCTTTGAGTTTAGTTTCTTCTTGTCTAAATTTTTGTAAAGTACCTAAAAGTGCACCAAACATTCGTTTATTTCTTTGTCGACTACGCTCATCTGTTCTTTCTCGTCTGATAACTTCTTGACGTGAAGGAATTTCTCGAGGAGTAGCTATTACTCTGGATGATACAGCAGGCTTAATAACAAAATACATATTAATTTGATAATTATACAGTTTAGCATAATCACCTCAAAAAATCAATAAAATTAGATTTATTCGACGCGTTTTTGCATGAAATGAAAGAATCTGGCAGAAATAAGCGTCGCTGTCCCGCGAACTGAGATATTAAAGCGTTAAAGTTAACGACGATTGAAATTAGGAAATCTGTCGCAACCACGAAATATTACGATGCAAGCGTGTGTGTTGTGGTAAAAAAAATTTGCTACTTTAAAACAAGTTCTCTGTTCTAAAACAAATTCACGATTTTAAAACAAATTCTCTGCTTTAAAAACAAATTCACTACTTTATAAACAAATTCATTGATTTAAAAAAACGAATTTACTACTTTAAAAACACAAATAATTTTTTTATATTATTTTTGTTTTGAAAACAATAAATTTGTTTTATAAAGTAGTGAATTTGTGTTTTAGAATTTGTTTTAAAATAGTGAATTTATGTTCTACTCTATCATTTTTTTAGCATCTTTCCATTTTTCTTTTTTCCAGCATTTTTCCGAGAGTAGTAAATTCGCTCCATCTCGAAGAATCTAGTCGCAAAAATTTTGGACAAATACGCAATTTTATCCCTAACGATATAAGTAAATAGTTATATTTATATGCTGGAAAAATGAATATAAAAATGAATTATCGAACAATTATTTATTAATAATGAATTTCTTTTTATATGTATAGAAATTCAATTTCGATAATCGTGTATTTAACGTATATGTGCAGATGAACAGTAATGTATCCCAATAATTCTGATTGGTTTGATCCCCATTAGTATTACTTTTTCAAGATTCCATTTTCCGAAATTCCAATTGTCATGGGACAGCACCCTGAAGCGATATTTTAAATACACAAAAATGCGGGAAACTATTGAGAATACTATAATCTATGTGCTTTGTAATACTATAATCTATTCGTTTGGTTTCAACGTTTTATATTGAAAATAAAAATAATGACTATATAATTAATAAATGTTAATACTGGAGACGTTTATACGTACTTTAAGAATTCGTTTTTTTTTATTTCAAAGCTGTATTTGTATTTGTTTCTTCTACTATTACCGTTACAAGATCTATATTCTTATTTTCATAAATATAACTATAAGATTCTTGAAAAATCTTTATTGCATGTATTAATGCCACGTTCGCGTCTTCATATTAATATGAATTATTCCTTCAATGTCTTTTTAGGAATATGTACAAGATCGAGTTATTTGTAGGTTACGTTCAATAATACAACGCTTCCAACGCTTCACGATTGATCCACTTGTGTAGTATTGGCAATGTTAGTAACGCTAATGGATCACTCTATCGGAAATATTTGTAATGATAGCATCTGAAGCGTTTGAAGTGTTTAGTGGATTGCATATATATTATGGACTACAAAAAAGCGTTTGACACGATAAATTAATGTTAAGATACTGGCAGCACTAGCAAACTGTAGAATAGACCACCACTGACTCTAGAATAGACCGATACAGTAGAGACTCTCTAAATTTGGCTTCTGTAATCTTTGCATTCCTCATACGTACTTTTACAAACACTAATGTTATGCCCCTTCCATGCCATGGTAGGCTGGATGTGTTGCGCGCGCATCTGCACCTAATTGTACTAGGTTCTCACAGTGTATGCAATGTAATTCCATAGGCAGATTATGTATAACTATTTGTATAACTGTTTTATATACATATGTTTTATATACATTATATTTTATATACATAATGTTTTATATGTTTACAATTCTTTTGTAATACAAAATATGTGATACATATGACTTATTCTTCTAAGATTATGTACATTGTAGCGCACTTTGACAAGTTAGCATGCGCAAGTACGCGGTAGATTCGTACTATAGAGAGAGTATTCTATAATTTTGGCATTCCATTCTTATCGCCTCATGGGCTAAATTTAGAGAGACTCTACTATACACTGCAGTAATCAAATATATGTACGAGAATGCCACAGCAAGTATCAGGTTCCATAAAGACATTGATAAATTCCATATAGAGAGAGGAGTGTCGTCAGAGCGACACTACCGCCTCAAAGATATTTACAATCCTGTTGTAATATACAGGATGTTTCAGAAATAAGGAGCCGCATTGGGGATGTAGAATGGGTCAAGGGGAACAAAAAAGTCTGATACCATTTTGAGATGATATTCGCTGTAGTTTTCGAATTAAAAAGGAAACATATAAGCTAATGTGCGATGAAGCCGCGTCGTGCGAATTCGTAGCATTTCATGCGTTTTCATCAGTAAAGACGATTAAACATGTAAACTCTCCCGGAATAGATTTGACGTGGACTGTCTTCGAAAACCTAAGACGATTATATTAAAACCACAACTCCCAATGTGACATTCTTGAACAGATAGGACGCGTGCGCGTACACATACGTATACACATATACACAATGACGTTCCGATCAATCAAATTCCACATTGTTCATATTGAGAAGAAATAAAATCACAATTTGAGCTGACAACAGTATCTTAAATTCGGAAATAACTCAGCGAAAAATTATCGTATCAAGCTCGATAAAAAAAATTTAAAGATACAATTCTATACTTTCATATATGTGTTGCCCCATTAAGCTGTGACATCTAATTCATACCAAGCACCATCGCAAACTTTGACTTTTGATTATCACTTTTGTATTTTCTCATTTTATCATTCTCATTTTATCATTCGCCATTTTGAAAATAATGGCTTAGTACAATTCTCATTCAAAGATTCTTAAAGTAGACATTTCAAATTTCATTTTGCATTTTTAAACATATCTTTATGTTCATTATTTACCACGTTATGATCATTTGAAAGGAAAAATTTTCCCAAATTTTTAGTGTTTTGCCGTTTTTTTGGGAGTAAGTATAGAAAGATTTATTACACAAATTAGACCTTTAAATTTAAATATTTCAGAAATTATAAGAGACTGCTACCTAGTTGTTAAAACAAAGTTACTCAGAATCATGACCTTGACATGTGTCAAGATCATTGGCGCGATGTCCCCTAATGTAAATAATTATCAAAACATTTAAACAAAATATTGATCGACATCAAGCGCATTTGATAAACGCAATGTCATTACAAAAACGCGTTTTTCAGATTTTTTTTTAAAAGAAAATGGATTTCATTTAAAGTAAATGACAATTATGGCGATAGGCTTAACTATCATCCGAATTTAAAATTCTGACAATTAACAAAATTTCGAAAACAAGATTATTAATATAAATAATAAAGATAATGTCAATATAATGTGTATTTAATAATGTACAAATAAAACCTTATGTTCTACAATTTTTTAATAATTTTTTATGTCTAATGAATAGATTTCTTTTTTACAGCTGTTGCTTTAAAACTCTCATACACGAATTATTTAAAAAATTATATGAAAATATATTTGATCTAATATATGTTTACTACTAACTTGATTATTTATTTCAGAAAAAAAAATATTAAAAAAGAAAAAAATGGGACCTTTGAACTTGAGACTTTCAACGTTCTGATCTTGCACTCTACGAGCTCGATCACAATTTCTTGCAATTCGAGTTTATTAATATTTTCATGAACTGTCACGTTTTGACATAATTTATACTATTCTGAATTAATTCTTCATGATCACCTAAAATTTAGGGAGCCTCAAAAAGTGTGAAGCTTTATATTACTAAGTTTTTTTTAAAAGGGAACTTAAATTGCCATTTATCCGAATTTAAGATATCGTTTTTGTACCTTCAATCGCATGTTGTTCCTTGGAACAACGTCAATCTTTGCGATTTTTAAAAATATGTTATAATTAAAAACTTTAAAAAGCCACTGTATTTCCATATTCTATAATGTTTAAAGTATCTTCAGTTTGTGATTTTAAAGAACAAAAATTGTAAATACAGCAATCAATTAAAATGTTGAGATAATTTTGTCCCCTGTAATCAATATAAAATTCTTATGAGATGTGAACACGAAGGGTTAGAGCTTCAGTACAAAGATGGTCGTAATCGAGTCGTAGTTGTGGGTCAACGCACAATCTATAACTACGATTTACGTTCCACAACTCAGTTACGATTTACATTTCACAACTCAGTTATGGTCATCTTTGTGCTTAGGTCCTTAATAGGAGAAGTATATTATTGCTACAATTTATTAAAATTTATACGTTATCTAGAATGCCCGTCGCCTCTTATTGATGTGATGAAGCGATCGAGATTGCAGAGAAAGTATTTTCGGTCGCTTGAAACAATATGACTAGAGCAAGAAAGACAGACATTTTCTTGTTGTCTCATTCGCTCTCAGCGCGCCGAAGGCGGGCATACAGACATGGGCTCGTGCATGCATGTGTGGCTACCGGTTACGCCAGGCCGTCACTTAGTGACGCTGATCACGTGCCTAATTCCAACTGTTAATTCTGTGTCGTCACTATCAACGCGGAGTTTTTAGCTGAGTACTCAAGAGCTATCCTGAAGTCGTCTGTATTACCGACTAAACCATACAATTTTTGTACATTTTTTTCCTCTCTTTCTGATTCAAAAATCCTTTTTCAGGATTAAAATATACACGCATTAATACGTGTCCGTGAGATGGAGTCTATGCTGAGAACGACAAAATATTTCGAAATTGAGATCTTTTTTACCATTTCTTAGCTGTAATGCGAATTCCAACCCGCTTACAGCACGGTTAATAACATAAAGAGGGTATAAGAAGGTACATACACGATGAGTTCATATCTATGTATATTTGCGCATGCATGTATGTCCGCTTATGTCCTCTTCATGCTATTCACCGTGCTGGAATTCGCATCACTGTTTCTTAGTCCAATGTGGCGCTCCAGAGTTGTCGCATCATGACAACATTTACTTCATATAAAAGCTGTGGAATCTGTACTTACGAAATAGTAGTCCACAGACTAGTAGTTTGCATGGAGTTCTTAAAATTGAATTTGAACGTCTAATTAAAACGTAATTGTTGTAATACAAGAAAATTTATGTGTATGTGTGGCATGCGTGAATGAGATACTGATGTAGTGATGACTACATCAATGACACATAAATTGTCTGTGTGTAAGTACCGCTTTCAATATAACTAATCGTCTTTAGGATCCCCTTAAAGGCATTCATATAACATCATTCAAATAAGCATGAATTGTTTTCAGAAGTTTAATACAGAAGTTTATTACAATCTGGATTTTTGCAAGGATAGGTTGTCACCATAAAGTAAAATTACTTGTAATTATAATCATTATTCATTAAAAATCACAAAAATCTAAAGGTCCATGTAAAAATTTAAATTAATTGGAAAAGAAAGAAATATCAGATGGGTCCAAAATTGCACAGCTGCGGTTCTATTATTAAGAAGCATTAAGAATCATAGACAAAATATTTATTATTTCCAAGATGATATACGAGATGTAACAATAAAGTTTCAAAATTAATTTTGTTTCAAAGTGACTGTTGATTTTTTTTCATCGCTGTGTAGTCTGAATCTTCTACCTGCATACGAATTTCAATTATTTCAGTTATTGTGAAGTTGATTCGTATAAAGATGTGTTTTAATCTCATATTAAGAGAAAAATAGAACGCAATTTAGAGCAAAGTTGTGACATCTCGTGAAAAGTAACAAATCATCAACAGATATTTATAAAAAGTCGATCAGGATTTTTAGAATTGCTGCAGCTAAGTCTGTATTTGTTGGCCTTCATGATGTGATAATTTTAAAATCATCATCAAAATTCATGCTATTGCTATTATGTTGCTATAATAATCTAGGAGCACACAATATAAATTGCTGACAATGTGAGATGACTGTTGTTATCTAATTGTTTGATACTATTATTTTGCTATAAAACTGCTGGCATACATATATACATACATATATGCAGTATTGCCTGTATTCAGCATATTGCTGTAATATTGGTATATTTGAAATCATTAAAGATAAATATACAGTTAGTTGCTAGCATCATAAGCACTCACGCTTGGTCATCTAGAAACTTGAACAATTAGAAACTGTACACTTGACAGTTTACTTTTTTCATATAGGAGATTCAGATTACACAGCTGTGGAAACTACGGGAAGTAACAACTTATAGTGTTGTCACTTTAGTGAAAGCAAAATTATTTTTGAAACTTTATTGTCACTCCTCATGCGTAAATAAATTACCTTGGTAATATTATCATCTTCATCAGCACTATCATCTGCAGTAGATGGAACACGTGCACTTAATCGACTAAAAACTGTTTTTGGTTCTGCATTAGAACCTTGCCAACGTCGTTTGCCTCCTGCTAATTCATTATTCATGAACTCTGTTATAGCTCTTCGACGATCTTCTTGCAATAATCGTTTTTGAGGTATTCTAGAAAAGAATAAATCAAACTAAAGGTTTGTTTTGTTTTCTGTATGTGTTCTTCACTGATTGCACTAGTTCAAGAAGTATACACTGAACCGTTTAAACCAGAAACACAATGAAAAGCACAGGCAATAGGAGCAGGAAATAACAATTTTCAATCTATTAAAAATCATATACAGGGCGTCACCAAAATCTGACAAATTGAACAATTTCTTTTTTCAACAAAATGTTTTTAATGAAAAATTAAATATTACAAAAAATCCTTTTACATGGCACTTGAGGGATCCTGTAGAACACAATTATTTGAGATCCTCCATTAGCTTGAATGACGGTCTCTATTCTCGGTCTGAAGCGTTCGCACGCACGCTATAATGTAGCGTCTATGCCGACGAATGCTGCCTCAATAGCGATCCTTAATGATGTCACATTAGGATGCTGAGATTTGTTTGTGATTCTTTCAACTACGCTCCATACGTAGTAGTTCAAGGAATTTAAATCTGGGCTGTTGAGAGACTAGAATTCCTTGGACCAAAACATATCGACGTTGTCTGAGGGCCAATTTTGAATCAAATGACTCGTATGAGCCAGTACACCGTCCTGCTAAAAAACATATGGCTTTCCGGACGCCACAGTTTCCATCCACGGCTTCATTACATCCATCAGAACGCGCAACGATTGTCTAGGTCATCCGAAATCAACACTTGAGTTCTTTCAACGACTGCGGAGTGCTTCTCGCAGTGCGTTCCTTCGAGTGACTCTTCCTCGCTGGCCTTTGTTGGACTGTTCTATATTTTACCACAATATCATAAATGGTTGATCGGGTATCCAAAGAACCGAATTATTTTCGTTGCTGGGCACTCAGCGCGAAGGCCTTCGATGATCGCGGTTCTTCGATTATACTCCGCACTTAGTTTCAACATCGCGGCCATTTTGAGAATATGACTGTTTACTAGAAGCATTAGGCTTTCTCGGACGTCAACAACCTCTGGCGGAGATACACTATAGCGGAAAATTTAAATTGAAATTTGTTCGGGTTTTGGTGACGCACCCTGTATACTAGAATAGACGCTTTAGATTGAAATCTCTTATTCCCTGTTCCTAACGCTTGTACTTTTCATTGTTTCCAGCTTTTCTTAACTGTTCTCAAAATGACGTCAGCGATATCATTGGCAAGATATTATTAGGTTACGTCCAAGAATATACGCCGAATGTCTCCAGGTATCAATTTATCCTTATTTAATATTCGATGAACAATAAGGAATGATACTTGGAGCAGAGTAGATAAGAGATGTTTTTTTTTTAAGAATAAAACATTGTTTTTTTGTCTTTCAAAGATGTTTTTAGTGCTTCATGCTTGTGAAACAGTATTATAAAATAACATGTTTAAACATGTTAAAAATATCGATTAAACATGTTTTAAATAGTTTAAAACTGATTTTTATCAACTTAGAGGCACTCAGTGCGTATTCCCTGAACACAGCTTTAAAGCTGTGTTCGAGGAATACGCACCGAGTGTCTCTAAGTTGATAAAAACAGCCGGCCGTGGGTAAAGTTCGTGACTATCAATAGAGTTCCGGAGTTTGGGGATAATTGAAAAACAATGACATTATCGACAATTGATATAAATGTGCAATTATTGACATAAATATTTGAATAATACATTGTTAAATTCACGATTTTTTATATAAGTGCTCTATAAATAAGTATATATGCTTGTAATACTATAATATCTATACAATACATTGCTGCAAAATTACAATTTTTTTTTTCTACAGTTATCATCTCTATTGATAATCAAATTTGAACAACAACATTAAAATTAGTTTTTAAATAAAAATCGTGTTATTTGATTTTAAATATATATACATATCTACAAAACTAATAAATCATAAAATTAATACTACTTATTTTTGTCTTATTTTTAGTCATATTATTACGTTTCTTATTTTTAGGGCTGGTTATTCCATCTTTTGGTAAATTTTACCTGTTAGGTAAGTAGCAAGATTACCCAATCACATGCGTGGATTATCAGATTTACCTCATAGGTAAAATTTACCAAAAGATGGAACAACTGGTTCCTAGTCATTTAAATTTTTACGCAAACTTCAGTAAGACCGGCAGTTTTTAACAGTATCTTGTTGGTGGCAATACTAAGTCTGTTCTTTTTAGCTAAAGTTTTTGCATGATTCATCTTTCTTCCTTTTCTTTTCACATTGAAGAGAAAGAGAAAAGATAAACCATGCAAAAAGTTCAGCTAAAAATAACAGGCCTAATGTAAGCGTTAATAGTCCGGAAACTAGTGAAGCTTTTCCCTACCGTAATTTGATACCGGCTGAAAATTGTTGTGCTGTTAGTCTAAGTCTAGATAGTGGAGAAGAGAAAAATTAATGCCTGGTTGTCCGGATCGGCTGCGATACCGAAACGCATTCCATCAGAATTGTTAAAAATCCCGATGCATAAACGTCATTTGATATCGCCTGAAACTTCTTTGAGTTCAGTAATGTGAACACTAAAGAGTAGTAACAATATCTGGCTGCGCAAAGTGGTTACGTAAATTGCTCGGCTACGGGTCAAACATAAGGTTAAAAAATAAGGTGTTTTTACATTATTTAATACTGGCTAACTTTTTTTGAAAAATAAATTTATAAGAAAGAGGTTTTTAATCGATCATCAATAAAAAAACGTTTTATAAATGTTATTTCAGTTAGTAAAAATTTAGAAATTATGTGCCAATAATTTTATGAAAATGACAATCTAACAGTCTTCTCTTATATTTCTACTCAATTTTTCAGATATTGCAGATATTGAACTCGATTTTGCGGATATTGGTACCAAATTATATAAGCTGCGTTTCATCTAACGCTTGCAACCATAGACATAATAAGAATAGACCGAGCATGTCCTCTACTTTGGTATGAAGATCAGATAAAAAAGCACAGAGAGCAGATATTAGACAGAGAGCAAGATATTCATCACCTTACTTCCCCTCCTCATTTTTTCTTAGTCAGAAAGAGAAAGCTACATCGGTGTCCATTGTCCATCCATTTTCTATCTAGTCTTGACGTTTCAAACCTCACGCTTGGTCTATTCTTATGTCTATGCTCACAACACTCGCGAGCATCGTTTATCCTTGTTTGATATTTGATAAACGACAAGGATAAAATGATTCCATGAGCGTTGTGAGCGTCAAGTGGAATGCAGTCATAGAAAGTCGTCACTAGCTTTCAGACTATAATGTATACAAGTTCAGCCATATAAAACAGACTTTGTACAAATAATGCAGTCTATAAATAATCTAAAAATAGATAAATGATACTAAGCTTACATATAAAAATATTTTACACAACCATTGTCTTCATTATTAAGAATAATGGAATCGCATTAATAACTTTCTATCTTCATCAAACGAATCTAATATTTCTATATAAACAATAGGTTTGTTTTTTATTGCTGAATTTTCTGAACTAATGTAATAAATGTATATTGAAGTGTTCTTTATTGCAAAATTTGTCAATGGTTGTTCTTTATTGCAATATAGGAAAATTAGGTGCAAAAGTTCACTGGCTGCACTAGACTTAAGAGTCAGTGCAAGCGATGCAGGACACCCAGAAATGACTGTTCAGCGAAACACAACTAATACATATATATATTATTAATAATATTGTCTAAATGTAATAATATATGTCATCTATATTTTTTACCATTATTATCTTTGATTAAGATTGTGAAAATAGTGAAATTGCAATTACATCTTATTCATTAGATAATATAATAATTCTAACAATACATGATTCATGTCCATCATGACTGCATTATACGTTTTATATTGCCTATTTATACTATGTCCTTGCTCAGTTCTAGTTCAGTTCAGTTCTAGTGCAATTCTAGTGCAATAAAAAACAAACGTAATATAAAACACTTTTATCTTGTACTAGAATATTTTTTTATTTCTTGCCTATACACTTACACTCATCAGTTTTGAGATCTGTTTTCTGTGGCTGAACCAGTGTACACTTTTGGAATTCAAAGTGAAATAGGTGTATGTTTGATACTTGTCGAAAGCGAAAAAGAGAGTTCTAGTGCACTTTAGTGCAAGAACAGAAAAACAGAACATTTATTTATACTAGTTCAGTGCAAAGGCCTGAACTAATTAGGTACAGTACCTTCCATAAGTTTGGGAACACTCTACTTTTACAGCAAAGCCATTACATGACAGCGATCGATATATGTTTTTTTGTAGATTAATCTCCGTTCAACTTACTCTTCGTCTTTTTCTAGTTCTAAAGATTAGAAAAAGATGAAGAGTAAGTTGAACCGAGATAAAGTTAATCTACATTGGTGGAAATAGGCATAAGTGTACAAACCGATACATGCGCACTAAAAATTGTAAATCAAAAAAAAGTTCACTGCTATTGGGTATGATTATACTGTGGCGAATCGATATATGGTTTAAATACTTTGTAAGATGTCTAAATGACGATAAACATTTATCTATAACATCTATAAGCTTGTACATGCCAAGAATATGTTGGACAATCATTTCACAGCATTCAAGATTGAATTTCACGCTTTGGTCTATTGTGTATGTTGTCACTTGTTTAGCAATGTCGTATTTGTGTTCATTGTATATATATATATATAGTTGTATATATATAGGTCATTTAATTAAATAAACTATAGGTAATTTAATGGTTTCTATAAAAGTGGTAAACTATTTGAGAATTGCAAGTTGATTTTAGACTCCGTAAAAATTAAAAAATGGCCTTGAAGAATTAGATTTTATATGAATCGCATTTTAATTAAAATTCCATATTTTAATAGCATGTTATTAAATTTTGATAAATAATTATTTAATTGAAAAAAGACAAAATAAAAGTACATACATATGTACTTTATAATTAGATAATGTATGTATGTATATACTTTTATTTCGTCTTTTTTCACAATTAAATAATTATTTAAACATTACCTGTAAAAACATAGTGTTCCCAAATTTATGCAGGATATTATATATATATCTGATACTTATTGAAAGCAAGAAAGAGAATTCTAGTGCAGTTAATACAGGAAACAGACCACTAGTGCAATCCTCGTACAGGGGGATGTAAAAACAAACCTTAAATTACATGAAAGAAAACTATGTGTGCCTTTCAACAATGCGACATAGTAATCATTTGTCATTTTTGTTTAACATTGGCAAACAACAAGGATGTAATGATTTATTGTGTCACACCGTGTCACTTGTTGAAAGAAACTATAACTGATAAAGAATGTATGAATATTATTTAACACATACTTATATATGATAGAAATGATATAAATATGATGATATAACATACAAATGTAAGACAAAAATACAAATGTAATACAAATAGTACAAAAATAATTAGAAGATATAATAAAAGAGAAGAAAGCTCATGACAGTAACAGTTACATACTGCAATTCATAAATTGTTAAAATATTTCAAGAATTTTATTATAAAATGTTTTTAAAAGTATTTAATAATTTAATATGAATGAACCTAGAAAATAAAAATTAAAGATTTTTTAATTAAATATAACCTAGACTGTAATGGACCACTTTCGCCATCAGGAAGATCACGGCCCAAAATTTTACGAATGCTACGATCGAGACCACGAAGTCCATCACGGGCAACTTCTAACTGTGCTTCTAATCTGTCGGCTCCCCATAACTCTTGACAATCTAACTTCCTCATTAGAAATTTTGACACTTAATAACACAGAAAACTAATTTCTTCAACAAAGAAATAATGTTGACACCAAAGTTGATCGGAGAAATTTTCTGATCTTCCAAATCGTGAATTGGACATAGATTTAATAAGAATAGATGAATATTATTGTCCTCTGTCATGCCTCTGGCACGCCAGCGCCACAGTATAATTATAATAGCGACAGTGAACTTTTTTGTGATCTGCAATTTTTAGTGCGCGTGTATCGGTTTGTATATTTATGCTCATTTTCACCAATGTAGATTAACTATAATCTTGGTTCAACTTACTCTTCATCTTTTTCTAATCTTTAGAAGTAGAAAGACGAAGAGTAAATTGAACTGAGATTGAAGTTAATCTACATTGGTGGAAACAGGCATTAAGAATATGGCGGACGTATTAGAAACTTAATAGAAATTCAAACTTAAGAGCCTGTCCTATCATAACTCTACTGTGTACATTTCACAATATGGCGGTGAATTATGTGGTTTAAGAACACTTACATCAAAGGTGTCGACGTTCAGTGTCGCTACTAGGTATGATTATACTGTGCCAGCGCGATGTTCGTCGCGCGCGATATCCAATAAGTGTACAGCTCTACCGATGTTTTTATTCTAAAGCTACACTTTCATTAGATATCGCGTGTCGTACGCGACAAATATCGCGCTGGTATGTCGGGCCATTAAGGCACATTTTCATGTGTTGCTAAAATAAGCAATTGAAGTGACAGATTTGTCGCTCGTTATCCAGCGACTGAAAGTTTGTAATTTGAACAGTTTTAACTAGTACAAGCGTCAACCGCTCAAACTATTGACAGTGTTAACATATGGCTGGGTTGGGGGAGACGCTATTAGTACTATTGGGTCATCTAAAAAGTATCCGCGGTACTTTGTCACTAGATATATGACCATCAACACACATCTAGTGACAAAAAACCGCGGATACTTTTTAGATGACCTAATACTATATTTCCCTTGTTTTTTATATGCAATAATTTTTAAGAATAGATGCCTAGCGTGATATTTGTCACGTACGATACGCTATATCCAATGGGTGTACAGCGATGTTCTCATTTCTAAAGCTATACACTCATTGAATATAGCGTGTCGCATGCGACAAACATCGCGCTGTTCTGCAGCCAGTATAAGTTCTATGACACCAAATCATAAAGAGTAAATCATAAATCAGAGTATTAATCATGAAATTTTATTTCTAGCATGGAAAGTGAAAAGTAAAAATTTTAACTATTGAAGTTAATGGAGAAATTTTTTACTTTCCATTTTTCATCCTAGGAAAAAAGTTTCATGATTAATACCCAGGGCACTTATCATGGAATACCACCAATCATAAAGTCGGAATGGATCAATCAATGGACACTAATCATAAAGTCGGAATGGATTCCGATCGGAATTCCGTTTTCCCCAAAAAACACAATAGAAATCTAGGGAATAATTAATAATTAATACTAACCAACTACAGTCGAGCATTCCTCTGTCGTTCGCCTATAACAGGGGAATACTCGACTAGTTATCAACATCTTAAAAAGTTTTATAAACAGAGGAAAGAACAAGTTAGAATTGCTTACTAATCAAAATGTGATCTATAAGATCTCATGTGATGATTGCGAGGCTAGCTATGTTGGCCAAACCAAAAAAAAATTGAGTACGAGGATACGTGAACATATTTCAGATATCAACAAAAAAAACAAGTTCTCCATCGGTCATTTCTGATTACCGTATAAATCTCAATCATAATTTCAGATGGAATGAAGTGAAGATATTAAACAGTGAATCTTCATATAATAAGAGATTGATATATGAAATGGTACACATAAAAGAAGGTACACAAAAACAAGGGTTAAATAAACAAAACGACACGGAAGCTTTGCCTGAATCATACCTATTATTTAATCTCTCTCTCCTTAATTTCTTCTAACCTTTATTATTTCTTCCATGTTTCCATTTACATTTCTATCCCCTCTTATTTTCCTCCTCCCACCACTTTCCTACTATCTTTTTCCTTCCTTCTTTGAATGTCAATTTTGTAATTTCATTATGTCTCAGAACATCGAGGAGACAAGATTTTGTTTTATTTCTTTTCGCATTGTTTCTAATTTTAACTATTATACTATTATACTATTATATTGTACTATTTGTACCCGAAATTCTTTTTATTTTTTGACTTAAGATATGTTATATTAAAGATATGTTATATTAAAGATATGTTATATTAAAGATATGCATATTATTTTTAGCTGTTACTATTTTATGAAGTTCAGTTAATATATAGATATACTTTTTGAAATCTTAACGTTTATTAATTTTGATATGTGTCATCTCTTATATTACATTGTTTTGTATGCTAGTCTTTAATGGTTATCTGATTTTTTTCTTTCTTCTTTTTCTATTGTTATCTAGCGCTATAATTCCGTTATATTTATATTCAGTCATATTATTAATCTTGTAATTATATTCAGTCATATTACTAATCTTGCGCTATAATTTCTTATATTATATTTTTCTACAGGATCAGACTCATATTTGCGTTCTCCGTTCACTTTTCAAAGGACATTCATTTGTTTACTAAAATTGACATTATAAGCATTTTAATGACTAACCGTAAGTAGTTTTTATTATGCGTACGTTCTTTTTCCGTTATACATTATAACTATGTACAGGGTTGGCCATATTCGACGGAAAGATGTTTTTTTTTCAATCATGGGAAACGTCGTTACTCGATCTAACATCTCTGTCAAAAGTTACAGTGTTTGCCAGATTTCCGTCGAATATGGCCAACCCTGTACATTATGATATTCGTTTTTATGTTATCTGAGCGAAATAGATAATTTATTATGTTTTGTTATTATGTTTTTTTCCGACTGTAACTATTATGTATGTTTTTTACATTGAAAATAATCCGATCGCGATCGAAACGTCTGCTAGCTTTCTATATTAAATTTTTAACTTAAAACATTTCTGTTTCTTTTATTATTTTTTTACATTCTATATTATCATGTTTTATTTTATATAATAATTTTTTGCTTGTAATCCTTTTTTTTCTTTGTTTTAAAAAATAATTTAATTTTTAAATAACTATTAATATATATCTGATTTCATTTAAACATTAATTAATTTTTATTACAGATCCAATTAAAAAACGTAAAGTAGAAATTATTCTTAAATCTTTTATCAAAGATATAAAAGAAAAAAGGAATGAAATAAGAATGAAAAGAGAAACTGAAAGAAAGGAACATGAGAAATTAAAAGCAAAGCGATATACAAAACGTAAAGAGGAACGTGAACAAATGCACAAAAAAAGAATAGTACAAAAATCTTTAGTATCTTGAGAGAATTAGTTGCTAAATCCAAATAATTGCGAATCTTAAATTCTGCAATTTTATTTTATTTTTTACTTTCTTAAAAAAAAAAGACTTATTAAAAGACTGATTATTATTTTATTCGTTCTTGATAAATAATGATATCTATGTAATAAAACTACATCTAGCCGAAAAATTTTGATGTTGAACTTAAGACTTTCAAAGTAAAATTAAACTTGAAGTATTTTCTATATTTCCAAAAGCTATTTAATTTAAGTTATTTTTAAATACTATTAGGTGTTGGAATTAATTCGTAGCGTTTTACAAGTGATGGGAAGTACTTTCATTAATGTATTTTTTAATGCTCATGTGAAATAAATAACATTCTTTCATTAAAAAACGCTACGAATTAATTCCAACACCTAATAATTTTAAATACTAAAATGTTAAATTTTATGTTAATATATATTGATAATATATATTTTATAAAGTAAAACGATTTTGTTCATGAATGTACTTTAGATTCAGTTTAATAAGATACTATAATACTTTTGATACTAATAAAGTTAATTTGTTTTACACCAAATATATATCATTTTATATCTAAAGTCGTAAAAATCATTTTATATCATGGAGTGATAAAGAAAATTTAAAAACTAGTTTTTGTTATTAGTAGTACCTACAAATTTTATTTTTATTAATATACATTTCTGATATATGTATAATTTATTTTCGTATTGTATCTTATTGGTAAGGCATTTGTTATTTCAATTCTTTTATCGTTACCTACATCAATCAAATTATCATGGATCTATCACTTCATACATAATATTGGATCTATCACTTCATCGTTATCGCGATATACATCTACATCAAATAAATCATTTTTTAAAATACAAACATTGTGTAACACACAGCAGTCCAAAATAAATTTCGGAATTTCCTTAACATCAGTTAACGGTAAGCAATCTAAGAGAATCCGAAATTAAATCCGTATCTTTAATTGAGCTGTAGCTCGCTCAATATTGAATGCTATTCTAGTAAATGATAGGCAATAAATTGTTCTGTGTTCGTTAAGTATCCATTATTTCTATATGGTACCATTAAGTTTAAATGAATACCATATGCAGCATCCCCGATTAGATGAGAATTTTCAGGAAAATATATTTCAGGTCTTGTAAGAAAATCTGCTACCGGAGAATTACGAAAAACACGAGCATCGTGTACAGATCCCATGTCCGGCAAAACAATGCTTAAAATGTCCACGTAAATCGCATATAAATTGTACATTAATGGAGTGAAATCCTTTTCTGTTTATGAAGCGGGATCTATTTTTGGAGCCTAAATTTTAACATGAGTGCCGTCAATAGCACCGATGACATTCCAAAAATTACTTTTCAAAATTGTTCCATTATTTTTGTGGCAATTTAACAATCTTTTGGCTATTGAATAAGTCGTGGAGCAACACAATGTAATGCATATGTTACACGCTGCAGTGATCTAAACGTCGTTCCTTTTCCGATTCCGAATTTAGTGGAAACAGATCTGAATTAAATATGAATAATTTAGTAATTTTAAAATTAATATTAATATATAAATGCGATTTATATTTTTTTAAAACTAGTTATTAATTTATTTATATATGTATACATATATACCTATAAGAATCAGATGTAGCCATAAATCATATGGCAATAAGGAGTTATTTCTTTATAGAAATAATTTTTTCAATATTGATGATCCTTAATTTCTGGACTGATTATTCATAGCACTTCCTCAAACGTTTCAGGAAACATTCTATAAATCCATTAAACAAACATGCAATAATTTTTTAATTCTTAAAATGAATACAATTCATAGGAAATATTTTCAAAACTGAATATCAAATAAAAATAAATAAGTATATACCACCGAAAATGTTCTTTAAATGCATGTTGGGAATATCCAGGAATAACACGCTCAATATAATCGGATATTTTTTCTGAATAAACTACTTCTCCGCGTGTTTGACCTACCATTAATACTGCATATAAAATTTCTAATTTGGAATGTAAAATGTATTCATCTTGTTCTTCATCACTTATATTGTCGGAATATTCATCAGATTCTTCACTACTACTATTATCGCTACTACTATTATCGTCATAATTCATTATTACTAACGAAATGTTTACACACGCGTTAATGTTAATAGCAGTCTTCGTTATTTCGCATAGATTGCAGTGATTGCATTGCATATGTTCCGTTTCACGGCATGCATTTTGCACATTAAAGAAATGGAATGGAATACATGCATTGCGCATTCGTGATGTGAACCATGCGTTCGATGCGTAAAACGGAACGCACCCATAAATATAGTGGGGGTATGAATTTAATTTAGCGAAAATCTACATTAGCTCTGCGAGCTCGAAGATCTTGAAATCCGAAATGGATCGAGCAGTTCGATTGGCTCTAGAAATGTTAATAACGAACGCAAATATTGTAAGAGGGTATCGATTGTGTATCTTGAAATAAAGTGAAAATTATTGTACAAAAGCAAGCAAATTCTAGTTATTGACCAATTAAATTATAAATATTCTAATAAATTTGCTCACTTTTGAAATTTTCATTTCATTTCGAGATACACAATCGATCTCAAGATGACATGTAGCAGAAAGATGCAAGTTGCTGATTTTCGAGGTAAAAGAGCAAACGGACACCTCCGATATGCAATGCCGAACGCACCTACTACAATATAATATCTAGAGTAAAATCTTCCTCGGAGAGGAAGTTTTGGAACGTAGCCTTAATATTTGTTCTATTGCGCGCAGGTATCCTACTCGTATCAAGAGCACGATGTAAACTAGTCAAGTCGGTCGATCATGTTAGTGATCGGAATTGGTGAGACTAGCCCTAGATGGCGGTATTAAAAGCCGATCATAATTCCTCTGTCGATGTAACTTCGTACTAACTAGTATTGCAACTGGCAACGAGTCAAGATCGAGTGAGAGAAGTGATCAAAAAATGGCATCCGCGCCGATGTCGCACAATGAGGTTTCCCAGGAATTTTCTGTCAACAAACTTATCCGTGTCGGTTATTACGAGCTGGAAAAAACTATTGGTAAAGGAAATTTTGCCGTAGTAAAAATGGCCACCCACGTCGTAACAAAATCTAAGGTAAAAGACGCCGTTGAAATCTACAATTACAAACATGAAATCCGTCATTTTGTCGTTAATATCTTCTAAATTCTGAATATCTGTGTGAATATATACTTCTTTGATTTTTGTATATAATTATAAAGTTTAATGATTTCAATGTAATTATTTTTTGTAGCTATATTCGAGTAATTATAATGAGTATTTAAAAAATACATTTATTATTGTTAAGAAAGATCACTGTTCTATTTTAAGTGTATAATTTATGTAAATTTCATAATCTTTTTATTTATATATTTGCACATTTAACATTCTCAGCATATACATAATAATACATAGTATTACTAACAAAAATATTTGTTTTTCTTCTGAAGATTGGTCTGCAGTTTAATAATTTTAAATTTGTGTGTATCTAAAAGATAATATATCTTTTTTAATGGAAATATCATTAATGAGAAAAAAAAGAGAAAAAGTAGGTAAGAAATGAATACTCTCAAAAGCACACGCTCACACATATACATGGGAAAGGTTATATGTTTATTATATGTTCTAAATTAATTGGATTGAAAAAGTATTAGGTAATTTTATTTGTAATTTTACTTGTATTTTATTTCTATGACTTGATGTAACATATTTGATTTTATACTACTATGAGCATTATTATATGAATATTATGTTACAAAAATAAAAATTTACTAATATTTTATATATTTATATAAGATGGATACGTTATAGAAGAGTGTTATTTATAGGGCAGTATTTATAGTCTATTCTTATTTCAAGACTGTCTTAAGTAATGTTTTAAGACACTATATGGTGCTCTGATTGATTTGACTTTTTAAGATTGTACTTAAGATAGTCTTAAATATAAGCTCTATGAATACCAGTTTAAAGCTGGTAATCATAGTCGATTCTTATATTTAAGAGCCTTAGCAAATTGACTTATAATCTTAAGACAATGTATTATGACTTATGTCTTAAAGGTGAATAAATACGAAGTGCCTTTAAGACATAAGTCATAAAGACAATTCTTGTGCATTAATCTGGATCTACAATAGATGTTTTAAGTTAAGGTGTTTTAAGCCTTAAGTCGTAAGAAATTGACCAATTACAGTCGAATTTGAGAAGAATAATCGACTATGATTCGTTTTTTGTAGCTTAAGGTTTAAAACTCTATTGTAGATCTGGGGTTACTAAAGACTTAAGACTTAAGTCATAAGACACTGTCTTTAAGATTATAACTTAGCTTTTCTGTTATAGCCCTAAGACTGTCTCAAATAATAGTCTTAAGATGTCATAAGCCAATCAGAGGGCTGCATCTTAAGACATTACTTAAAACAGTTTTAAAATAAGAGGATTATGAGTAGGCTTAAGGTCTGATTGCATGATCCAATGTTACTTAAACTTTAAGTGAAGTTTATAAATCTTTCTTTTTTAAAAGCCGATAGAAAGACAGAAAGGAAGGGAGTTTTAAGCCATGCTTGAAGTAACGTTGATGCAATCGGGCTTAAGTATTCTAAAAGATTTTAAGGATTCCTCACACAAATTTAAGATGAAAACTTTCTATGATTATGTCCGAAATAACTTAGTTTCAAAGATATATGAAATTAGAAGAAAAAGTTTTGTTTTTTTTTTTCTTTAATTTCGAAACTACTCAGGTTATTTTAATAAAATTTTAAACATATAAAGTTTCACATATATGGTCATATAAAATTTTCTTTTTGAATTTATGTGAGGAATCATTCTTTAAAATTTCTAGACTACTTAATGCTAATTCTGTATATAGATTGTTTCATTTTTAATGATGATATTTTCAATATTTTTTGAATGTGCATTTTACAGAAAATGTTTCAGATAAAAATGGAATGGTTTCGAGATGGACATATTTTGGTTAAATTTTTTTCCAGTGACTTAGAAAGATATGAAAATTATTTTCACTTTTTTTGAATGGAATCATGATTTTTTTGTTACATAATATGATTCCTCTAATTATATTGCACATAAAAATATTAAGGTAGAGATGTAAAAAACCAATAGTTTATTAGATATTTTATACTTTATTGTGGCACATATTGATATGAAGTATTAAATATCATGTAAACTGTTAATTTTTTTACAATTTTTTACTTTAATAACTTTTATGAATAGAATAATGACATGAATTAGTTGGTGTAAAGAAAACATAGTTGCTTATTTAAAAAATTATTCATTTTGCTTACATATTTCTTTTAAAATAACTATGTGTTTCCTTTACATCAATTAATTCATCTCATTACTCTGTTCATAAAAGTATTAATATTTAATTATCAAAAAATTAATAATTTATGAGACATTTAATGTCAATATGTACCAGAATAAAGCATAAACTGTTATTTTGAATATCTCTGCCTTAATATTTTTAGATACAGAATAATTAGAAAATGACGTTCGAAGTATAGGAATCTCGATGATTTTACGAAGATTTTGAAACATAAAAATAGTAGCGATTTTATTACATTGAAGAGGATTTGATATAGAAAGATTGAAACGTCTGTATGTATGTATGCACAATTGTTAGTCTACAATAAACATAAATATTGTATAGCATGAACAACAAGCGTGGTTCCTTTGCCTTTTTACAATTTAATTATTTGAATTTTATTCGTTGGAATCTATTACATTGTTTTTAATTTTAAACATAATTTGAAGAATTATATTATGTAGAAATGACATGATTGAGCGCGAGCGTAGTAAGAGTGTGAGCGTGGCAGTGAGCGCGAGTGTGACATGACAGATAGTGTACTGGCCTGTCAGAGATCCTGGGTTTGATTCCAGTAGGAACTCAAATATTTCCGCTCGTATTCTTGTCCACAGAAATATCTAAAAAAATCTGCCATTCGGAATCGGCATTAAAACTGTAGGTCCCACATGCATGTGGCAATTGAATAATCAGCATGTGCATTATAAGCATATGAGAGATGTAACAGGCCAAAGGCCTAACATAAGAAGAAGAAATGATTCCATTAAAAAAAAATGCAGGAAAGTATATCTTTTGGGCACCTTTCCCTAGAAGAAAAACGTGATCAAAATACACCTCCCTCGAAATCATTCCACTTATAATTGAAACATTTTTCTCTAACTGCACTATTCAAGAGATATTTATTTATCATTTTTGTTAAAGTATCGTTAGACACCTTTAGTAATTCACGAGTAAACGCAACCAATCTTATTGGTTTCAATTAAACTTTATTGTAAGGAATACGAATGTGTTGAGATCGAGTATTGCAGCGAATTAGCTCGTTTTTTTTATTTTGAGAGAAGAAAAAATATAGAGCAATTCAGAAAAATCGCCTGCTCACACAGCGCCGCGTTATGGCCAACTTACTTAATCGCGTCAGTACATTATCCTCTGCGGCAACTCGAATATACTCAACTAATAAAATAACCTTCCTAAACATGTCGCCTATCTTGATAAATATTGATATTTTCAATTGAACAAATTTAAATCTAACGCGACGAGTGCAATATGCTGAATTCGTAAACCTCATCAATCGCACACAACCTATCCCTCCTCTATAGATAAAGGACAAATTTTTACAATAGCTTATAAGTACCTTTACTGTTACAGTTCTTATTTTCATCCATTCCCGGATGAACTTCAACGACTCTCGCCAAAATCTATTTGAGGGATATCGTTTCGTCCTCCTTTAGCATTATCAACTGCCCAACCTTTAGCTTAACAGAAGTTTCCATTTCGCTCTTTCTTGACAAAGGATCAAATACTTCTTAGACCAATACTTAGACCAATACTTAGACAAATACTTCACTTTGAAGTGCTGTTTCAATCGCTCCACATGTTGCCATCGAGTAAGTCTATTTGGTGCTACGTCTTGAAGATTTGCTTTCGAATAGGCTTCAAAGAATCCCCGATTAGGAAATGTGCCGGAGTCAATACGCTCAGATCCATAGCATCTGAAAGGGATTAAGGGTCTAGAATTTAAGATCGCCTCAATCTGCGCCAAAACCGTGCTCATTTCTCCTACAGTAAGCGATGCGTTTCCAATGGTTCTTTTTAGATGCTGTTTCATGGACCGAACAACAGCCTCCCACAATCCAAAATGTGGTACTCTAGATGGTATAAAATGCCAGGTCATTCGTTCTTCAGTGATAGCATTTTGAGAGTTTGAAAGTTCGCGTTCTGAAATAAGCGCCGCAGTTCATTATTAGCTCCTTGGAAATTTCTTCTGTTGTTGGAATACATGTTGATCACCTTTCCTTTTCGAGAAACAAACCGCTTCAAAGCTCCGATAAAAGCTGCGGAAATCTTCTACTAACACTAAGTGCACAACATCTCCTTTGATTACTATGCACGTGAAAACAGAAACGTAAGCTTTGTATTGCTTATTATTCCTGCGAACTCTATCTCGAACAAAAAAAGGTTCGCAGTAGTCAACTCCAGTGTTGTAACAATGGTCTAACTGAAGTGACTCGAGCAGCCGGTAATTGACCCATGAATTGCTGACAAGAGGTAGGTGACGACTTGATACAACGTACGCAGTCCTTGTAATATTTTTTACCTCTCTTCTTGTAGCTAAAAGCCAAAACTCTTGTATAGCTGACAAAGTAGCTTGAGTGCCAGTATGGAACAATTTCTCATATTTGTTCTTTATTATTAGCTTCGTGACATAATGAGCGCTTGGCAGTATAATGGAATGTTTGATTTCAGCCGACATCTTAACATTTTCCAATCTTCTTCCTACTCTTAGAACGTCGTGATCATCTAAATACGGATTTAAACTAAGTAATCTAGAGTTTTTAGGAATCCTTTCCTTGTTTCTTAACAATCGCATTTCATTTTCAAACATTTTGAATTGAATCAATTTTATTATAACCAAATGCGAATTAGTTATTTCTAAAATCGTTATACAGCCCGTTCTATGATTTACAACAATATTTCTAACATTATGATTAAAACACAATATGTACGCAACGAAGTAACTTTTTTAAGGAAAAGTATCTAGTATATAGTATAACAGATTTTTGTACTGAAATTATACTGAATTGCACTTCACTTCGCTTTTCTGGAATGTTTTCGAATAGAGATCTTCCTCTTTAGCACTTAAATTTAACCATGAAAGTCCTTTCCAACTTGAGTTTTTTAATTGTTCGAGAGTAATCAAATCCGCGGGAAATCAAATCCGCAGAGTTTTCTTTAGATCTATGATGCCATTCGGAAAGTGAAGAATTTCTTTGTATCTCACTAATACGATTCTCCACAAATGTTTTTCTCTTTGCTGCAGAACTCAGCCACGTCAAAACAATTTGTAAATTAGTCCAGTAATAACACTTATATACTCACGTTTAAACAGGTTATCACTTTGTTCGTAAGTTTTGAAAAGCACAGCTCCACATAGTTCCAACCGTGGCAGAGAATGTTTTCAAGGGTGCTACTCGAGACTTGGCACAAAGCAAAGCTATCGAGGCTCTATCATTCTCTCTTACAAATATGCAGGCCTCGTAAGCTTGCTCGCTAGCATCGCAAAAACCGTGTAATTGAATTATTGAATCATTGACTCTTAATATTATCAACGGGATCTTTATAGACGCTAATAAATATAACTGAGATTTTATCTTACATCAAGCTTTAAATGTGCATAGGTTCGTCCTCATCCCATTCAATATTGCAGGTCCACAAGGATTGAATCAAAATTTTAGCCGCGATTATAACGGGATCAACCAAACCTAAAGGATCAAATAATCTCGACACTTTGGTTAACATTGCTCTCTTAGATACTTTACTTTGTAATAGGACTCTTATAATACAATATATCTTCATTAGAATTCCACAAGATTCCGAATAATTTCGACTCTTGATCTTTACTAAAATTTAATAAATCATCTTGATCACTAACGCCATCTTCTCATTCCATTATTATTCTTCCATTTGTGTAACTCAAAGTCGCCTAGAGATAACAACTCACTAATATGCTTTCTCATATCTATAATCCCTTGCAATGTATTAGATCCGATTAAAAGGTCGTCCATACAAAAATCTCTAAGAACAATTTCTGAAGCTATAGGAAATTTTTCTTTCTCTAGTTTAGCTAATTGCTGTAAGCATTTAACTGCCAAGAACGAAGGAGGTGCCATACGTGATTGTGAGTAATTCAAAACTTTCTACGGGCGCGTCCGGATTTTCGCGCCAACGAATCGTTTATAGAGGTAGGAGATCAGCGTGAATCAAAATTTACCTATACATTTTCTTAATGTCTGCACATAGCACAAATTAAAAAAATCTAAACCTTATAACTATCGAAAACAAATCAGATTGAATTATAGGACTTTTGTATAATACGTCTTTTAATGACAAACCTTCCGAATTTTTGTTAGATGCGTCAAATTCTACTAGCGTTTTAATAGTCTCCGACTCTTCTCGAATGACTGCTCTATGAGGAAGGGATATCCTTTTTATGTCAGGCGTCGGTTTATTAATGTTTCATGCCCTAGTCTAAGGCTAAGTATTCTTTCATAAATTTGACGTATTCTATTTTGAGCTCTAGTGCCTTTTCAAATTTTCTTTCTAACGACAAAAGTCTTTTCATAGCAATATCCTCCAAATCTTCTAGTTGAGTCAACATCCTTTGATTAATATAGGCAACTTAACTACGAACCGACCATCAGCGTTTCTAGTGTAACTTCATAGTGTAATTTTCATAGAATTCCTCCACGTATTTGACTTCTGTCGTTCTGCTTTTAGAATCTAAACAATCTTCAATCGAATTTATTTACCATATCGCATAATCTTTCTTCCACACTCAAATTACAAGTACTCTTTGAAGCTTCGCGACCTCATTGTCCGACAACCTCCGCGATTATCTATCCAAGCATGGATTTCTGCAAAGTTAGCTTGTTTTTTCCGAGCTTTATCTATCCTACACAAATGAGATTCTAGAACTTTTCGGCACTTATTAATACATCTATTTTTTAAAGATTTGAAATTCAGGATCCGCCAGTCTAATGTTGCTTGGAATATCTAAATCGAATTTATTTAACTCGAATTCTGGCAAATTTTGCATAATACAAGGCAACACTATGCATTTCAAATCTATGTAATAAGAATCAAATCTAGAGACCATATTCAAATCAACTACTTTTAAGGCGTTCAAGACCTGTTGATTTATTCCTCTAATTCTTATTTGCGTTTTTTCACCCGAGAGACCTAATTTACTTAGAAATTTTTGAGAGCCGTTATCTAACAAAGCTCTGCCCCCCACGAATCGATCGCTTCTATCCTTTATTTTTATGACAGCAATAGAGAGCAAGATTTGTTTCGAAACTACCGTTTTATCCGAATTAGCATGATACGATACACTGCCTGTACCTATCTTTTCTTTACTTTAATTCGACTCTAATCTCTTATTCAACTGCGTATCTTTGTTTTCTTTATCTTTATTGTTTTCTATATGTAATAATGAATTATGTTTCTTTCCGCAAATCTTACAATTATTGGATACACAATCTTTTACTAAATGTTTAGGTCTTAAGGCTCCTGACTACTCAACCAAAAATTCTGCGTTGACGATGGTGACAGAATCAGACGGCGGTCTGGCGAAACCGGTAGCCACACACTTAACCATGTCTGTGTGCTCGCCTGCGACGCACCAAGAGTGAACGAAACAGCGAACTCCTTCTCACACTAATAACTTGTTTCAAGCGACCGAAAATGCTTTCTCGGCAATCTCGGCCGATCGGCGGACCTAGGCATCAATAAGGGGCGGGAGGCATACTAAATAACATGTAAGTTTTAATAAATTGTAATAATAGTGTACTTCTCCTCTTAATCCAGAATAGTATAAATCATGTTAAAATGCAACAGTTTACGAGATATTTAATTGTTTACAATTTTTCATGCGCGTTATATACCTCCTTCATAAACTCAAGTAGCAAAAATAATTCAGTAGAAATAGAAATTTATCGGAAAACAATTATTGTATAATATAAATCAGCATTTCTTTTCTCAAGACGAAAGTCTTGCAAGGTCATCAGAAAAGAAATGCGTATGTTTGAGACTTGAGACTTATGAAGAAAGTATGCAAAAAAAAATGGAATAGTTGCAAACAGCATGTTTTTCACTTATAAAACGAAAGATATTGATTGTATGGAAAAAAATTCGGTATAAAAAATGTAAGTATTCGGAATACCTACAAAATGAAACCTAGAATATTAAAATCGATTTATTAGTTCAGTAGAAAAAAAATTAAAAACATTGAAAAAAGTTTTTTCATTTGTTCTCTGTTCATTGAGATTTAAACACAAAGCTTTGAAATTCTCGTAAAATGTAGTTCTCGTCATAACGAACAAATCTAGCCCTGAACAAGCCTGAAATGTTCATTAGTTTTTGCAAAAAGCCATTTGTTCAAAACCTGTTTGCGGAAAATTTAATTTCTTCATCTTTTTGTAGTCGCATAGCAATTTACAGAGGTGATTTTTCTTCTTTAAGAGTTGCACTATCATGTACATTTAATAACAGAAGGATTTTTTGTAATTAAACTATTATAAAATGACTTTTAAAAGTGGATATCGTTTTCCGTATAAAAAAATGGAAATAATTTCGTTAATGCATCATATCAAATAGCCATGCGAAGCATTTGAAATCTGATATTTTTCTACAAATTAAAAAAAAAATTACCCTACGATTATTAGGTGCCGAGATAACAATTTTTTTTCAAAAAATCATTGTAGCTCTAATTTTTAAGAGTTCCGTCTGGCACCAATTTATTAAGGAAAAATTGAATTTGCTGTTAAAAAAATCTTGAATTGTAACTATGAAATTTTTAAAAATTTTTTCTTTTTGTTCTTGAATTTTTATTTTTTCGGTTAATTACTAAAAAATTACGTTTGAGTATGGAACGCATGTCTGATTAACAAATTTAAGTCACATTAGCTATTTTCTTTATTTAATATGTTGTAAAAAATGTCCAATTGTATGTATAATTAAATGTACGGAATTATTAGTTTTTGTGAATTGCAGATGCAAATATGACATATATAAACAAATAATAAATAATTTGCCAAATGTTAGTGTAACTGTTGAATATAGTTGCAAAATATATTTTGCATGTAACATTACTTTACTTTTATATTTGCGAAAGTTAGTGTTATATCTTTAACAGTTGTGCTAACATTTGGCAAATTACTTATTAATTATTTGTTTACATATGGACAAATTGATGCCAGACTCTTAATCTTAAAAACTAGAGCCACAGTGATTTTTTGAAAAAAAAAATTGTTATTTTGGCTTCTAATAATCGTAGGGTAATTTTTTTTTAGTTTGTAGAAAAATGTCAGATTTCAAATGCTTCGCACGGCTATTTGATATGATGCATATTAACGAAATTATTTCCATTTTTTGGAAAACGATACTTTTTACGGAAAATGATACTCACTTTTAAAAGTCATTTTATAATAGTTTAATTGCAAAAAATCGTTTTGTTATTAAGTGTACGTGGTGCAACTCTTGAAGAAGAAAAATTAAATGTAAATTGCTGTGCGACTACAAAAAGATGAAGAAGTTAAATTTTCCGCAGACAGGAACAAATTTTTAGTGAATAAATGGCAAAAACTAATGAACATTTCTGGCTTGTTCAGAGCCAGATTTGTTCGTCATTACGAGGGCTAGATTTTATGACTTCAAAGCTTTGCGTTTAAATATCAATGAACAGAAAGCGAGTAAAAAAAAGGACTTTTTCATTAAAAGGTGTTTTTTATTTTTTTTCTACTGAACTAATAGATCGATTTTAATGATTCATGTCTCATTTTGTAGGTATTTCGAATACCTACATATTTTACACCGAATTTTTTTTCTATACAATCAACATCTTTTGTTTTATAAGCGAAAAACGTGCTTTTTGCAATTATTTGATTTTTTTCGCATATTTTTTTCACAAGTCTCGAATCTCGAACATATTTCTTTTCTGATGGCTTTCCAGACTTTCGTGAAAAGAAATGCTGGTTTATAATTCCGGTAAAATTCTACTTCTATTGAACTATTCTTGCTACTCAAGTTTATGAAGCGGAGATACACTATATAACGCGCATAAAAAATTGTAAACAATTAAATATCTCATAAACTGTTGCGTTTTAATATGACTTATACTATTCTGGATTAAAAGGGAAAGGGTACACTGTTACTACAATTTATTAAAACTTATATGTTATTTAGGATGCCCTCCGTCCCGTATTGATGCTAAGGGCCATCGAGTGGCTGAGATTGCCGAGAAAGCATTTTCGATCGCTTGAAATAAGCGATTAGTGTGAGAAAGAGCTCGCTGTCTCGTTCATTCTCGGCGCGTCGCAGGCGAGAACACGGATATAGGATCGTGCTTGTTGTGTGTTACAGCGCCGCACCACGATAAATGGCCGAACTTATAGGCATGGAAAAGTGACGTTTCGACGACGAAATTTATGTTGCGTGCCATTTCGTTATTATTTGCTTAATTGTGAAAATGTGATTTGTCTCGTACTTATCAAAATCGTAATTATCGATGAAAACTAAAGTTATCTTGGAATTTTGTATGTAAAAGCGTATATTTTATTCGTTTAAACAGCTGTCGTACCGTGTGTTTCTGCCTGAATATAGGTTCACTTTATGTACCTTTTACGACTATTTACTGACTGTCAAGGGAGGAAAAGATAGTTTTTATCGATTTTTACAAGTGTTTTAAAGTGATTTCATTATTTCATTTCATCCAAATTGTCTTTATTTAAAAATGGCACGCAACATAAATTAACGTATTATTCCTCCTTCTGATGTCATGATTCCAACATGGCCGCCGCGACTAATCAGAAGCCTTAACCAATTTAAACATAGCTCATTTTGTTTCATCTTTTTCATACGCTCTGACACGAATAGAATACGAAAGTTGCTATATAGATATATCATATCCTTTTTACAATAAGTGCACTTAGTATTAATGGCAGTAGTGTGAGCTGCAGTAATCTTGCTGGAACCTGTTTTACGTGAATTTGTACTTACTTGATCTTGTATACTTCGATTCACTACTACCTCCAGTGTTTGACATCTCTTTGTTAAAAAGGTTACTACTTCTTTAAAGCTCTGCATTACAGTAGATTTTAATGTGTTTTCCCATTCCTTTACTGAAGTGATGTCTAATTTGCCAACTATAATATGAATAAGTAAATCGTCCCATTGCTGCGTGGGTCTTTTTAATGCTTGCAAAGCCCTGGTGTGTTTTAATACGCCATCCAGAATTTGCCTGATAGTTTCATCTTCCTTTTTAATAACAGGTAAATCGAATATCGTAAATTGAACATGAGTTGTATTATCAATCTTTGATTGTCGTATCTTTCTCTTAATCTAGACCAAGCATTTGCGTAATTTATTCCAAAAATCTCTAATGATGATATGTTTTCGGCCGCTTGGCCTTTCAAAGATGATTTCAAATAATGAAATCTTTGTATGTCATTTAACGATTCGTTTGAATAAATTAACGAATTGAACACATCAAAGAAAGTATACCACATTCTTCGTACAGATCAGAAAAAGTTAGCAACTCGATCTTAGGCAATTTAATAAGATTACTATTTTTTCTTACATTATGTTGCACATTGACTTGTGTTTCTTGAGATGCTTGATCGAGAATCTCGTTCCTAGCTACTAATTCAACGCGATTTTCTAATACTTTCTTAGCTACTAATTTTAAATGCAGAAACTTATTTTCGTATATTTCTAATTCTTTGTCAATTTCTTCTATGGCGGTATCACCCAAAAAACTTATTTCTTAACAAACTTCTGATCACGACGCGTACGCTTCTTCGATATTACATACACAAGATACACTTTATCGATATTTTATTCTTACCTTAACTTCGTCTACATCAATGATATGAGAATCGATATCTCTAAGGAAATTTTCAGCTTGCATTAAACTAGATTTTTAACACTTTTTTTGCTTCAACTTAGCTAATTTTTCTTCTTCATACGTAGCCATGTTTTACCGATACAATAATTCACGCTACACGAACGAACAGTAATATGTGTATTTCGTTTTTATTTATCGAAATTAGAGTTCTTAGTCCAGACTTCCTGATGATGACGCCTCGAATGGTAAATGTTTCTCTATGCGTGCGATTTGAACTTCCTTTTTTTCTATATGACGATATTTTTTACGTGTTGATGCTCACCGCTTATAGTACTGATTCCTTGTGACTATCCAAGCTCTTACTATCCTCGTTGGTCGCCTGTCTATAAGCTTTTTTTTGCGTATATTGTGCGTTTCGCACTCTCTAAGATGCTTCATAACGATGCGCGTAATGTCTCTAGTACGATCACTCGTTGTTGAGACCTGCTGGTCTTCTTCTATCTGCACTGTGCGGCGTATCTCGATCCGACTCGAAGGACCATATATTAAGGTATCGTAAGGACTGTCAGACACCTTTAGTAATTCACGAGTAAATACAATCAATTTTATTGGTTTCAATTAAACTTTATTGTAAGGAATACGAATGTGTCGAGATCGATTATAGCGAATCTTCTTTTTCTTCTTCTTGTATTTATGTGGCCCGGATTCCGAAAAGATCGGATAAACTTGGCCAGTCGCTTCCAAGATCCCTTCAACCTTCCACAGGGCTCCTCAGAGAAGGAAGGGAGAAAACTGAAACAAGCGAAATGGAGCTCCCTCCGAATCTGAAAAAATAACTACCTTTGCGGATCCAGCATTCAGGGCGAGAATAAGAGTCTGCAAAATTGCCCACGCCTCCGCTGTGAACACTGAAGTGCTGGTAAGTTTATATTTAAGACAATCGCCCAACTCCGGAGAAAACGTAGCAGCACCCGTGCAGCCGTCCTCTGAGAGGATCCATCTATGTAGAATGTCAGAGACTCCTTGCTGGTGTCTGGAAGCTTATCTAAGAATTCTTGCGTGATTTCCTGATTGCTGCTATTGGTTTCTACAATTATTTCGTTGAATTTGCTGCGAAAAATGAAGGCCGAGTACTCGCTTTCAAAGGCAGAGAGGAAATAAGACCTGTGCAAATTAGGCATCTCGCATTTATTTATAATATAGTTCCTGAGGGAGGCGGATTTGTTTAATGCAGCAGCTTTGTAGCAGCAGCTGTGTAGTGGTGTGCATCATGTCCTCCAGACGTTTTAGATTATGCATTACCGGAAGGTTCCTCTTCGACATGCATTTTAGTACGACCTTAGCGCTCAGTAGATCGAATCTGAGCTTGAGTGGTAGCTCCTTGGCCTCGCACAGCATGACATTAATAGGGGTGGACTGTCTGCAGCCCATTGCTGCTCATTGCCTTGTATTGTAGCCTCTCCAATTTTAAAAATATATTTGAGTTGTGCCACGTGAAAATCGGACATGCATACTCAATGGTGCCTCTAAACACCATTCTATATGATGGTGAGAAGGCAGTGAGGGTGAGATCCCCACCACACCGTCGTCAGTGATGAGATGATGTTGATGGTCGCTCTGCCCTTCTTGATTAGATACTTGAAGTGGAGGGAGCTCCTTCTACTGTCCAGAATCACTCCTAGGAATCTTGTATATTCTCTGGGTCCTGGTGATCGATTGAAAGAAGATGTTCGACAGCCGGTGGGTTTCTTCTGGGAGTAAAAATCCACTTAGATTTAGAAGGAGAAAGTTCCAAGCCTCTTTCTTTCAGAAATACTGCGATGTTGTCGAGTGTGGATTGCACTCTGGTGCTTCCTGAATGTTGTGGTTAGAAGAGTATACCACAATGTTGTCGGCATATTGGAGGAATTCAGAGCCTTCAGAAATATAGTTGTCAATCTTCCTCAGCGCCAAGTTGAAAATCAGAGGGCTGAGAGCGGAGCCTTGTGGAGTGCCTTTGTACAAGAAATTTTTGTCGCTAATGACGCCGTTTTCCACGAAGTGAATAATTCTGCTGATAATCAGGTTTTATATGGATGGGACGCCAACGGTTTTCAATTCGTTTAAAATCGCTGATGGATGGATGTTGTCAAATACCCCGGTGATATCGAGGAAGGCGGCGACTGTTACCTCTTTGCTGATGGAAGACGCGTGAATATTGTTGGAGAATGTAGCCAGGCTGTCAATGCATGAGCGACCTAGACGGAACCCCATTTGCTCCTATGGAAGTAAGGACTTATGCTCCACTAACCATAGTAGCCTCCAATAAATTATTTTCTCCATGAGTTTGAGGGTGCAGAAGAGCAAGGAGATAGGTCTCATCCCCGAATTATTCGGCTTGGGAATGAAGATTACCAGCGAGATCTTCTACGTCTGGAATTACGTCATTCGCAAGAAAGGCTAACGCGATTAAAAAGGCTCACCAGTAGCTCCCTGAATTTGTGCGGGAGACATGCGAGAATCTTAAAGCTAATAACGGTCTAGTCTTGGTGCTGTTCGAGTGAGCGATGGCTAAGTCAAGTTCACTAATGGTTATAGGGAAGTCAATCTCCTCGACCGGAATGGCACCGTTAATATCTTCCTCTTTCATTTCGTCTGTAAGTTTCTGTAGATGTCTTGAAAGCAAAAGAGAGGACATAGTTTTTGCATTGCTAATGTCATGGCCTGCTTTTCTGCTACTGGATCATAATTGTGGTTCGTTTCCTGAGCCAGATTGCGGTGTTTAAATGTTTTAATTAATGACCAAATTTCAGCGGTGGGGGTTTTGCAATTTAAAGACTCCATACACCCTTTCTCCAACCTTTTCTCTTCTCCCTGTAAAGTACTTTGGAGCATTTTGCTCTTGTGTTCTTGAAATTGAGAAAGCTTTCGAGGGTAGACTCCCTTTGCCAGCGGCGTGCTGCTTCTCTGCAATTGATGACAGCCTGTTGACATGCCTCCAACAGGGAGGGGGAATTCGCCCACTGGATTGAATGCCCAGATCTCGACGCTTAGAGTAGAACATGATAAAGCGAGATCTACAAGATGACCTGTTAGCTTGTTGTATGCCTCCCTCTCGTTCTCGGGAAGTGAATTGAAAAATGAATCCGTGGAGGCTGTAAGAGCGTCCTGAAATATCGTCAGCTCGTCAGATTCTATGTTGATGCGATATGAGTAACGTTGTCATGGATTCAAGCTCCTCTCGACCTGATAGTCATCGGATAATGATCGCTGCCAAATGTATCTTCATTAGTACATACCTCACAGAGGGTGTAGTTATGATCAGGTCTACAGATATGCCCGAGTTGGGCAGAAGTAACAAGGTAGGCCGCTCGAATATAATCATTGATGCCTTCTACAGCGTTGAGCAGTGATCTCCCCGCTCTGTCCGTTGAGGAGCATTCCTATGCAGCGTGATGAGCATTGAAATCTCCGACAAAAATGCAGCTCCCTTTGGATTCCTCGAATCGCATCAAATCCGATTAGAACTGAGTACTTATTCTGTGATTAGGATGACAATATATGTTTAGGATGATGATTTGTTTGTTGTCCGAGGTGACCTCGATGCCTATAAGCTCCACATCGTTGTTTCTTATGTTTGAAAGGTCGGTTATGCTGAAAACAATATTGTCTCTTATTAGCGTGCACTCCTCTCATACCTGGATTAATGATATCCGCTCTGATAACGTGAAAACCCTTGAGAGCGAAGTTGGATGAGGGATGAAGTAGAGATTCTTGAACACAAATAATATCATAATCTTTATATTATATTGTATCTTTATACATATTGCTTATAATTGGGGTAATTTGCCTCGTAGCCCGCAGCAGTTCCACTGCAGGATGCTGAAAGACCATGAAGCTTTCTTGTTATTAGTAAAGGGGGCTGCGATACTGAGTGTCCAGCGGAGTCGAAAGAGTTGCTTGCAATTAGTCCAGAAAAAAGGTTGAAGATAGAACCCAGATTGCGATTAGAATCTTTGATAATAACTGCCAACCTTTGTAAGAAATCGACGATGGGGTCAATGAACGATGATAATTATTGTTTGTTAAAAAAATTCCTGACATTGGTGAAAATGTCCGCAATTTGGTCCACTGTGCTATTGCTGCTATAATGTTGGTTGGGATATGAATGTCCTTCATGAGGTGAGATTCCGGCATTCTCGTAATCCTTTGATAACTTTTTATCCCGAGTGCTGCATGGACGTCCATTGGGTTCCAGAAGTAACTCATTGTGTCATAGTCGAATATTTGTCTAAGCAGAGCCTCTGTGGCTCTATGTTTGGCCCATGAGTAACACGGATGCGCCCCGTTGGAAGAGTTTCTATGTTGGTGACTTTGGGTTTACGTGAGGAGCGCCCGGGCGACGTCACGATGTCTGCATAGCTTCTTTGATGCTGATAATTGATGTCCCCTGAGTCGTAGTCACGTAAGTTATGAAATCTGTTTGAAAACAATTCCCAATAGAATTTCTTTTTTTGTTGCGGCTTCATTGAAATATATGGGAAATTGCGGAGATCCTTCTTGACCGAGCGATTGGTATGACCATTCTTTGCGGCTACTAACCTCCTTGCTTCCACTTGAGGGATGTTTTCATGTGTCGCAAGACTAATAACCTTTTTGTGTTTGCGGATAATAGAGCAGTCAAAAGGCGTGGCTAAGTGTTCGTCACAATTAATATACGAGTGAGACAGCCCTTTGCTTGAGCGTTCCTCCGCGCCGTCGTGCTCTTGGCCATAGTAAAGGCATCTAGGTTTAATGCTTTTGCAATTCTTGCCTATATGTCCAACGCGATAGCAGACATAACATACTCTGACCTTATGTATGGCTCGACGGTGTACAATGCGTTGAAAAGAACAATTTCGCTTGGAAGAGACTATTCCGCGAATTTGATACATTGGGTCCTCGAAGAAACGTAAATTGCTTGACTGTTAATGACTATGCGGCGATTTAAGCGTTGTATGTCAAAATTTTAACAGAAGAGCGAATGTTTTCCTTGATGCAATCGATAGATAATGATCAAGCCCCTTGATTACGCCTGTTCTGAGCACGCGAAAAGATGGTATAAATATCTTGAGCTTATGCTTTTCAAAAGCGAGATTAGCGACCATACGATTGGCTTCTTCCGCTGTCTTAACCTCAACCCACAAGCGCCTTGCCGCTGTCTAATCTTTTGATGTGAATGATACATTGTTCGCTATTTCTGATACAATGCGCGACAAGACAGAAAAATTAAGTATCAAGTCCCTATCCGAGTAAACATATACCGCGAATCGTTCTTAGTGTAAAAATACGTGATCTTGCGCGGTGCGGCACAACTTGTGACGCGCTGACGCCTTCCGGCTCGCTACTGACCTCGTTGGATTGTGAAGCAACTCCCGCGAAAGGACGCGATTCTACCAACTTAATCTTACTTTTGTGTTTAAAGGCGTCCGTCGTCTTTAGGCCTCGCTTCCTGGATACCTGAGTGAAGTCCTGATCGACTTCTATGGGCTGTGAGCCATCACAGCCATTCACCTGTTGATTCATGTTACCTGTTATGGCTTCCGCTTCCTTGAGCAAGCTAGCTAGCGATGTGTTAATGTTACGAGTGTCCAGACTCGTTTCCCAGAATGTCGATGCGCTGTTCATCTGAGGAGAGGAAATTGAGAACGAAATAGGAGACTGAAGCCCTTCCTCTCGTGATCCGATCGGATCACCGGACCTGCCCGTCCCCTCTCCTCTCGCTCCGGACATAACTCGCTAAGTTACGCTAATAAGTTACCTGTTTGCGCGCAGAAACAATCCACCGTGGCCAGCAATTTCCCTCGCGATATACTTATAAAAGCGAATACCGAACTGTGCGCCGTCATTCCTCGCCTACCTCTCTCATTCATTTTTATTACAGCGAATCAGCTTGTCTTT